TAACGTCTTCATTTATTTTTATTTATTAGTAGTAATTTTCACTACATTACTTACAGTTATGAAATTATTTTAATGTTTTTAACGCGTCTTTGTAACACTAGATTATAAATTTACTAAGAAATAATTATTTATATAAATAATTAAACAACCTCTACCTAAATATTTATTTGTTTTATGGTAAATTATTTACGTCGACAATTTTTATAAAACACAAAAATAGTAAAATTTTTATTTTTATAGTAATTTTATTATTTTATTTATTTATTTTTAGCCTTTATTGTTCCACTGCAGGGCAAAGGCCTCCCTCTCTCCCTTCCACATGTCTCTGTCGTATGCTAGTTCGGCAAGTCTTTTTGGAAACGTCGCCTGGGCCTACTACGTTGTCGTTTAGCGCCTTGTGGGACCCAAGTGGTGCTAATTTTTGCCCATAGATCTGTCGGCATGCGGCAAACGTTTCTGGCCCAGTCCCATTTGAGTGCAGCGGCTTTATGAGTGACATCTGCTATTTGTGTTTTGGAGCGTAGTGCTGTATTTCTTATTCGGTCTGTAAGCTGTACGCCCAGAATACTACGCTCCATGGCTCGCAGGCAAACCTTCAGCGCGAACCTCTGCTGTCCAGTCAAAGACCAAGTTTGTGCACCATATGTGATAATGGGGAGGATGCACATGTCCATGAGCTTACGCTTATGACATAAGGGAAGGTTACCTTTCATGAGGTCCTTCATCGACCAATCGTCGACCAATGTCAAGAAATCGTAACGATTTCTTCAAAAAATAATGATGATGTGAAAGAGGAAAAGTCTTTGGGCATAAACTTAGCGGTTACAACTGGAATCGTGGCAGCAGGCATCGAGCAGTTTGAAGAATTATTTTCTGCAATAGACATACACGTCTTTTCGATAGATACATACGGACAATTGCAAAACAAGGTATATGAACATTGGAAACTGACAGCAGCTGATACTATGCAAGCAGTATTACTGCTATCTATTGATAAGGAGAGAGAAATAGCCGTATCCGAAAGTCTAACTAAAGGTGGATATCCAGTGATGATGTGTATGCCGATGGAACATGGAGTGCGCGCAAAACTTTGATGGTCATCTCCCTCTATGGAAGCAGATATAATTGCATCTATTTCTAAATACGGAGTAATATACCAAAGACTTATAGCAGATGGTGACTGTTCCACATATGCTAAAATTTAAAGGACACAAGGAAAAACACTGAATTTGACTGTTGACAAAATAGAATTTCCCAATCATATTTTACGAATTTTTTGTAAAAAGAAGCGGAACCTTGCCAAAGAGACAAAATTTTTCTAGTTGCATAGAAAAACTTTAACGAACCAATAAATAATGGCTACGACAAAATTAATTATTCGGTCGAAAAAATATCACCACCAGTCTTATGTTCCGAAAAACGATGCAGTCTCGGTACCTCATAAAGATATAACATATTCAGTTGAACACGCTTACGGAGATCATAGAATGTGCCATGATTACGACTGTGAGCATGATGGAGTAAAAGGTGACATTAGGCAAATACGGAATAGTACATTTTTATTTATACTGAATGCCATTGTTGCAACTGTGGCTGGGAAATCAAGAAGTTTGATTGAAAATGTTGAATTCAACACGGTCGAAAGATTTAATAATGTTATAGCTAAATTTGTGGGTGGGAACAGAATTAATTTTGCTCTCAGACGCAGGTACTAAGGAAGATGTGCAGCAGCAGTGGTATCTTTTATCAGGAATTCCGCCATTTCAGCTGAGCAAAAACACAATGTTAAATAGAAGTCCTTCAAGCAGAGTTTTGAAGTATGTGGAAAAAAAGGACCCATAAACGTAAATTCGATTTGGAACATCAATTAAAAAAGATACGTTGATTTCAAAACGCTAATAATGACCTATAGCACGACTATGGTCAAGCTAGGTCGGCACCAGATATGTCAATGTTTGATTTGGAGCGAGTTAAAAGCTAGTTATTTATACAATTTAATAAATGTTATAGCAGACAGAGATCATATTGAAAGATCGACCGTCGTACAAAGGGACTCGAGTAAGTGGCTTGAAATAAAAAAAAAATAACAGCTTCGAATTTAAAAAATGTTTGCAAGAGGTAACCCTCTACGGATACATCGTCTTTGGTAAAAAATATTTTGTACAAAAATAATTTGTTGCAAGTAACCTCGGTAGCTCATGGGATTGAAAATGAAAAGCAAGCCATACGAGTACAACAAATTCAGCAAGAAAACCAATTGAAAATTTAAGCTTGTGAACTTTTTGTTGATAAGCAGTACTCATTTATTGGAGCTACACCTGATGGCTTGATTGGGAATGATATGTTGGTTGAAGTGAAATGCTCATTAGTTGCTGCCAAAGAATGATTGCAGCTAGCCCTACAAAAAATAATCGATAACTGGTTTCATCAAATTCAAGGTCAGTTACATGTCACAGGCCATTAAAAATGTCTTTTTGGTTTGTGGGAATCATAAAATGAAACGAGTGGCATCCCAATCCGAAACATATTTTTAACCTCAGGAAAAGAAAATGAAGCATCATCAGGCTCTTTAACATACGCTTCAATTCCGAGTGTATCTGACACTAATATTATACAGTACACTAATTTTTGAAATTATCTTTGAAATAGAAAGCGAAATATCAATTATTATATATATGAAATTGATAGAACCAATTTAAGTATGTTGGTAAATAAGGTCTCTTCAGACAGCACTGTAACGGAACACACTATTGTAAGCTAACTATGCTGTGCGAATAGGAAAGACCGCTTGCCTATTGCGCTTTGACATGATTCATATAAAACTTAAGAAAGTTTAGAATAAAACCTCCGCCTCAATCATCATCTTTTATTAAAGTTATGTGAATTTTTCAACTTATGTTGTGTGTATTATTAATTAAAGCCTGTATTATGGTACCCAATCTGATGATAAACTCATGAAGTAAGAGAAATTTGTAGAATAAGGTATTAAAAAAATCTATTGTTTATGAGATTTTGAGTAAACAAATTATATATGTAGGAAGTAATGGCCTAATATCCTATAACAAATAACTAATAAAGCTTAGTTCGCCTGTTTAAACGGTCCTTTAATTCCAATATTTTTTTAATTTCGTGTATACCTATTTTAGTAGAAAGCTAACACACAGGTGAATAACAAAATTTAAAAGTGCAAAAGCTAATTAGAATTATATACCTCAAACATGATATTCTTTTCTAACTACTGCATTACGCTACACTATGGCACAATATCTGGACGTAACTTTGAGTGGCGCGCAGCCGACTCGCGCAGCTTTTTGACACGCTGCGTCTTTGCGTACGATACGTTAGCGGGGGGTGAGGTAATGTTTGCACACCTACACACCGCGCTGCAAGAGCGCCTTAAAAAGTGACTCATTTTAAACAATTTGTATTAACTTCTTTTTGAATTTTATTAACAGATATGACACTGAAAGAATTTTAAAATATTCTTATAAATATTATAAATAATATTCTCGTGGAATTTTATAACGGTAATTCGACTTTGTGACACACATAATATATATAAATTATGCAAATGACTAAAGTTAACAATCTAGATTTTTGTAGCGATTTCTGTTTGTTATAACAAGTTTATAAATCACCAATGAAAATGTAAGTAAGTAAGGAAGTAACATATAAAGAAAAGAAATGCTTTCAACCCCATTTACAATCAAGGAAAACCGTGTAATAAATGTATTATGATTATTTTATGCTGTTATTGTGACTGCCTTATTTATCCATGGAATAAGTTTGCGTCACTTCCATGCGTGGGCACGCAAAGTCCTGTTAAGTTTAATTCACGTAAGATTGTAATAGCAAATGAATGTGCTCCCCAAAAAACACACAACCAACATTGTGCTTCGGAAATAGATTTGGCAATAAGACACATTTGACTTGCCATGTAGCTAAAAACATCAGTGGAATTGTATGTAAATTTAAAAAAAAACTATGTTGTTTCAAAGACCAACTCTATCGACTATAATAATATTAATAACTTCGCACTTGCCAACTTCAAATATGTTTTAATATTTGTAAATACATACATATTTAAGATTAATTATACCCAGAAACAGAAAAATAAGCGTGCTCATTACACAATATTTGTCCTGGGTAGGAATCGAAGCCACGGCCTCCGGCTTAGCAGTCAGAGTCACTAACCACTAGACAAACAGTCCAGTCAACGAGATGGTGGGAAGTACAAAACCGCCCTGAGATCGCATTCACATGATGGTGTTCATTTGACTGATTAATTTTAATGTAAAAAGAGTTGAACAATTTATATTCACATCCGGGGAAAAATTTTACTCTATAAAATTACTTATCATAAATTGTAGCATAAAATTTCTCAGTTCTTAGTGATTGTTAATCATTTGCTGTTTATTATTTACGCTCATTGACACAATTGGGAGTCATCTCAATGGCACCTAGCACCTAACTCTAAAAAGAAAATAAAATGAAAAGAAATTTACACAAAATAGTGCAAAAAAGCTAAAAAGAAGTGATCATTTTTATATTGTCACCACAAATTTTGTCCCGGCCATCCAAAAATGTTGTATTGGCGCCTTTAGACTTTCAAAATAGGTCTGAACTATGAACTTTTACATGTGATGTAGCGGTATTTAAAACCGTGATGCATTGTTTAGCGTATTTTACCTTTAAATGTTTTTTATATCCGTTAATAATAAATAAAATTACAAACGTACGTATAATCTTAACTAATTATTTGCCCTCATTATCAATGCGGCTGATAAATGACATCGATTGATTCAGGCGAGACTAAAAGTAATCTAACAGATTAGGCAATTATTAAACAAGATATCAGTTGTTAAGTTGCTTCGTGTCCTAGTCTCATTATTTCGTACTTCTGTAGCTGCTTAATGCAAGCAAATAGAAAGATTTTCTCATTTTTTCCTGTTACCACGTTTGTTTTTTACTTTACAGAACTTTATTTTTCCAGCAGAAAGATGTACTCCACGTCTACAGCTTCCACCACGACCTCAGGGTCTGGTCGTGCGACTGGCGTCATAGCTGGCGATCGGCGAGTCCGCGTAGTGAAGTTGGTACGACCACGGCGAGCTGCCCCGGCCTATGGTTTCGCACTCAGAGGCGGCCGAGAGTACGCCACCGGATTCTTTATATCCAAAGTCGACTTTAATTCTGAAGCACATCATCAGGGATTAAAGGTCAGTACATCTGAAAAGTATGTAAATTTTGATATTCTTAAGAAGTTTGAGGTCGTTAGTAAAATTTATCGTAAATAAAGATGACTGTCGATTGATAAAAGACCCCTGTCGTACTCGAATATCAGTATACCTATATATTGAGGATCGGTTAAAATTTTATCATAAATAAACATTAATAATGACCATTATGATCGATTTTTGTAATCAAGGCCCAAAGCATCTATGTTGTTTAAGTGCAATATATGTACAACATAAAACCTAGATGACCTTTTTTGACATTACCAGATGATCTTAGCCACACTAACACTTCTGTTACGTAAATAAATGCCAAACAAAAAATGCTTTTGTTTATAGTCACGCTCTACTTAAATCTGGTGTGTTCTCAGAAAATTATTCTTTACAATTTATGTATGCAATTTATTTAACTTTATACAAGTATTCAAATATACAAGCTTTATATAATGTTGAACATTAACACTTAAACAGTAGTTTACAAAGTTCTAAAACGTGTAGATAAAAGAAAATGAAATAAAAATACTTTTGTTTTTAGACCTTTCTTAAAGGAGAACTAATTTGGTTCTTGAAGCTGGGCGGGGATTTAAAACAGTCTGAAATGTCCCATGGCTGTACCACTGTACCTCTGCTTCAAAGTTATAGAACAGAACGTTAGTCGGAAACAAAAGCAAGTCCTACAAAGGAAATATACGTTGTCGCATGTGTTTGTGTGTGCCCAATACACTTCGAGAATTTTTTGTAATTGAGTAAAGATCGTAAAAAATTTAGTAAATAACTGACACGCACATTAAAAACACGAGCGTTGGCGGTCTCACTTTTCACAGTGTTGGCATGCTTGCGTTAAAAACTTTATTAGAGATAGTAATACAAAAATCAACAGCTTTATATTATTACTACAGATTTCATTTTATAAATGTGGCTCCCTGAAGTATGATTTTAAGGATGGACCCAAAACATTAAAATTTCAAACCATTTGCGAAATGCGAAGTTTTGGAGTACGTTCAATGGCCACTTTCAAATCAATGCAAATATCCGTAGCCATGCATTTGCTGTTATGTAAGACAACAATTACTTAGTTATAACTAATGTTTATACGTAATAAAGCTTATCAATGACAAAATAAGGTAACTGCCTCATGGTTACATGTATTTTTCCACGTATTGATCATTATATGATCAATACGTGGAAAAATATCTGTTAAAGTTTTCTTACACCATTAACTATTGTTTGTTTGTGTGCATGTTTAACTGTTTGGCAATAAATTATTTCATTGTTCCGTGTGTTCCTTTCGTTCTTACATGAGCGTAGGGAAGATTTAATCTCTATTGACAGTTTTTGTACTAGTTAGCCATTAATGGTTCTCACGGTGGGCGAGAGGCGCGAGTGTCCCGGCGAAATACTTTGAATCAGCACCGTCGCCGCGTGCGAACTATTCTGCTCACAATTAAACCACTGACTTCTGTGTGCAATTACCCACGTCCGAGGCTGAGTGACTGTCGCAACGAGATCTATTATTTTAACCACTGACGTAACTCCCGTTAGTATATCTTGCCACAGTTTGTCTCAGGCCTAAGTCCATCTACTCCGACGGTCACCACGATGTCTCATATCGGATTGTAGATCAATCAGTTGATGAGATTCTCCTTATAATGTGTGATGCCGTCGTGAGGTAATTGGTTGTATCACCTGCTAACCCATAAGGGTTAGCAGGTGATACAACCAATTACCTTACGCAAGTCTGTATTGTCATTGATTGAAATTTACTTGCGAGAGTTAGTCTGAGACTACTACTAAACGACATAAGCACACTCTCTAGAAATTTGAATAAAGTTTTTTTTCTTGTGTCCATTAATAATCATCATCAACAGCCTTTATTAGTTCACTGCTGGATCAGCAGTGAACTAATAAAGGTGAACTAATAAAGGATAGGCCTCAGCAGTATGTGATCATGATGGGAGGAATGATATAGTAATGTATAGAAGAAAAAAATGTGACTATTAACTACTGTAGTTCTATATTTGAATAAAATCACACCTGCTAAAACCACGTTATATTTTGTGCAAGCAACAAGGTAAAGGTTAAAGGTTCAATATTCTTCGATCTACAAGGAACCAAGAGAAGTGGCCAAAATAATAATAATAATAATATTGTACCACATTCACACAACGCCATCTAGTCCCAAACTAAGCAGAGCTTGTACTATGGGTACTAGACAACTGATTTATATACTTTTTTTTTTTAATACATACTTATTATACATAGAAACACCCAGACCAAATCAAACATTAAATGTTCATGCACACAAATGTTTGACTTGAGCGGGAATCGAACCCGCGACCTTTGGAATAGCAGTCCGTTACACAAACCACTACGCCATTCGGTCGTCAATGATAGATACTTATTGAAATTTTTTATAATAATAAGTGTTAAATTAGTTTATGGTTTCCTGTAACGACTGTGTGAAATGTATGATTAAATAAACAAAGAAAATACTACCACGGTAATTTCTCCTATATTATTACGAAAAGACAAAAATTTAACTCCTTCGTCTCGTAGTTGACCGTAATCTGATGCAGTGCAGTGCCAAATGATGTTATGACAAGATTATAGCACCCCAGAATTGCCGTTGGCGTTAAGGTCATGGCTCATTAGAACCTCCCAACACCCGACCAGCACTGCCTTGCCTCGAGCGGTTCCACCCGTGGACCACCCATCCACAACGAGTGGACACCAAGTCGAGGTGGTGCTGGGCAAGTGTCGGGTGGCCTAAGCGACCACCTCGACAAATGTTACCTCGTTGAGGTACTGCACTGGATTATAGTTCATGTCATTGCGTCACGGGCCCATCTCTATTCTTTTTACTTGTTCAGTAGAATACAGTTTCATATTCTTCCCACGGGTAACTAGTAAAGTGTTGTATATTATTATGTGAGTTACAACTAGACTATGTGAGTTACAATTAGATATTATTGAGTGCTTTAATATTATAAAGCTATTCGAGTAACATTGGCCATTTTCGGCATAAGACGGACGAATGAAAATCACACTTTTAGCACCATTAAAGCGCAGCGCATCTTAAACTATTTTAATTAGGTTCTGTAAATTGTTCCTAGAGTTCTTACTTTAACTCATATAAATATCCTTCGAGGACAGAGCTATGAGTTCAACTTCGGCTTTTTAATAAGAACTTTAGAGAGTTAAAAAAAACTTGAATTATTTGGAAAACCCTGAATGCGAGAAAAGTTGTAAAGTTTAATTTTAACTAGTTAAGCGACTTAGGCAAAACTGACAAGATTAATTCTTATGTGAATCAGGAAATGCAACTAAAGGTTTTTTTTCTTTAAAATGCTAATGAGGAGACTTAAAGGGACACGCCGCTGCAAGGCATGGCATGATCCTTTCAGGTTTTTTTTTATAAAGGTGAGTTTTGTTTTGTGAGCTATTCGTGCAGAGCTGCCAATAATAAAATATCGAATATCGTTTACTAATTTCATCTAGAGCAGGATTTGTTCAGGAAATAAAAGCACGTTTTAAAATACATCATTACCACTTCATAAAAAGTAAACTCAATATTATGGCAGGAAGAACACTTGTACAATATGAACGTTGCGCAAATCAATAATTCTGCTTTAAATGGGTCCGAAATCAATAAAAAAATCTATATGCACAGGAAATTGCTTCGTAATTCAAAGTGGCCCACTAAATCAACTGCATTATATCCGTCTGAAGAGAAAGGTTTATTTTGTACAGAACAAAACTATTTACAATTTTAATAGGAGGTTATATTTTCTCCTACAAACTTTAGATAGATACTTTTTATTGCACCCAAAAAAGTTTTGTATGAGTACAATCTGCAAACATATTAAGAAGCAGTGCAATGGGTAGTCTGCGATTTCTTACAGACAACCAAGGTGGACTATACTGTATAGTATTGTACTGAGGTAAGTCATGGCGTAACAACTAAAAGATGTTTTCATTGTGCATAAAATATCCACCACCTTATATGGCTTTAACTATGCAGGAGTATCCTAAAGAAGGTCTATGCTGCAATTATTGTGGTGCCTGGAAGGTACCTTTATATATGCACTTACTTATTTTTTCATAGTTCTTTGGACCTATAATTTGAATCACACAAATAGTCTCCCCCCTTTTATACATATATTTATATACGAGTATATACCGCACTATAACGTTGATCGAATAATTTAATATCTATACTTCCATTCTTATATTATAAATGTGAATGTGAGTTTCTTTTGTTTGTTACGCTTTCATGCCTAAACTTCTAAACCGATTTGAAAAATTATTTTACCAATGTAAAGTTATTTTACTTTTATGTTACTTTTTACCGCGATATCGCCGCCGCGGGCCGAGCCGAGCCGCGAGCAAAAGCTGGTTAATTTTATAATATCTGTTTTATTCACCTAGTTATGTAGATATGTAGGATGGTCTACGTTTGTCTATACTCGAGCAGTTGAGCTAAAGTATCCGCTTTTACATGTGCATTTAAATGTGGAAAATATAAAAAGGTTTTTTAAATAAATTACAAAATCAACGTTAGTTTAAACCTATCGAGATACACATTTTAAATTGAATATCCATGCAGGGATCATACAGATAATTATTATAACTACTTATACAGTTGTACTTATACTATACCATAGTAAAATTTATGTGAACTATGTGCAGTAAAAAGGAAGGCAGTGTCAAAATATAACTCAAACCACTTTCTATTAAAAATTTACATGTCAGAATCTGTTTGAAGTGTGTTCACCGACTAGTCTTAATAAGACAGTTAAACAAAAATGCTCATACATATTATTTGTGAGCGTTACAAAACTTTTCACACGAGTACTTCCTTGACAAAGAAGTTACGAAAAATTCAAGTATATCCGCTATTATTAAACATCACAATGAGGTGTTTTGAGAAATAATAGTCTTCTGAGAGACCAAAATGAAGCTGGAAATGTAACTATATACTAAAA